TACTGCTCCTGCTTCTGCACATTATCTGCAATCAAATAGATAGATGCACTTAGGAGCGCAATCTTTTTACAAATGTTCTAAGTGCTTTGAATATTTCAAAACTGTGGTTTTCCTTCGTAGACAGGCTTCACTTCGGTTAGGTTTATAGTTGTTGGGAGGACGTGTCAACTTGTGTGCAGTAGGTGACAGGATGTTTTGTGCACTCCAGAGCACGATGCCGATGCCCGTAGTGACCCACTAATTCCAATTCGACTGTTAGCAAAATGCTTTTCATTACAGAGGAGAAGTTCTGCCGTTAATTCTCGTTTATAACAGCGTTTATGTTGGTAGTATGATGATAGGTAAACACCAGACTCAATGAATTGTCACCAGTGCCTCATCTAGCCTGTAGGTGATGGGAGAATGAGATGGTCGAGAGTGAACGGCGACTGCACGAATTAGCAAAGCAGGCGTTTTGTATGTGGGTGATTGATTGGAAGTGTGTTGTTGACTTATTGCATTTGTTCAATCACTCTGCCTCCAAATATGAGGGCGATCACAATAAAGCGTTTTCATCAGTCTAGTGCCATCACATCCACTTCATCACAAAGATAATCTCTATTGGTGAACCAGTCAAAGCACTAGCGATTGTGTAAGGCCTAGTTGGTAACGCTTTGTAGAAATTGCTTTACTTGGGAGCATGTTGCAACACAGTGTGACCCTCATCAAAGGCAGGCGTCTGACACTGGCAGTAGACATGTAACATGCCTCACTGTCTTTAATTGTGGCTCGCCGTGGAAAGCACATTCACTCACTTTACTCTTGTTGCACAAGATTTTACTGCATCCGTTCTGTGAGCCGCGTGTGAGTCCCACATCATAATGTGACGCGTATGAGTCGATTCATCCAGACACTCGTCTCCATGCAATTGAGATGCTCCTTCCGCAAGTAAACCTCCTAAGAAGCCGAAATATTCCATCCATGGGAAGTAAAAGGTGTGTGCCGGAAGAAACTTCAAAAACGGTCCTAACATTAGCCCTGCACACCTTCTTTATGGCTCATAGCGCTTTCAGTTTTAACGAGACCTACCTCATCTTTGGCGGGCCGATGTTCAGAACCCAGTGTTATTAGTTTGCCTATCCCTGCCACTTTGGACATCGATTCAGGCACCTTAAGAACCGAAATCAATTCTGTCGATTTAGCGGATTCATCTCGAAGGGTTTTCTAGGCCTCATGCAGGCAGCACTGACAATTAGACGAGAGTATGCGCATCGACTTAAGGCCCTTGGAGGGTAAGTCAGACAGCCCAACTGAAGACGCCCTGGCAGCGACCCTTCTCCTCAGTTTATGAAGCCTGAAAAGTGGCAGGTTCTAATGCAATCATCCGTTTTTGATGAGCTCAGAAGAGTTGATGGATGCAGTGGGTTAAAGGACCACGTTGTTACGCTGGACAAAACAAGGACACACTAATTCACTATGGAATCAAAACACTCATTAATAGTTGTAAAGCGCCAGGTTGCCTCAGCAGAATTGGCTAATCTCCTTACTCTAAAATACTTTGCGGATCCTGGGAGTAAACATTTTAATGACTCATAAGAATTACCAAAATCTGCGACGAAAAAAGGACAATCAAAATATAACTAACAGACCCCCATCCCACTCCAAGAGCATTTAATATGCCTTTTCAGTAGCCTGCCTTACTGTCACACAGCTATGGGGTTGAAATAGCCAGAAAGTGGGCAACTCTCAATTCCAGGTGGATGAAAGGGTGAAGACAAAAACGGACAGGCAAGGGAAAGGAGTAGACAATCACATCAAATCTTGTCTTTAAAAAATTGGTTAAGTTGGGAAGATTCAAGTGGATGGTAATTGCAGCCGTCCGGTTTTTATAATCACATCATAACCGTCCCTTTGAGCTGGGTGTGACGTGAAATAATGATCCCCTTCTTTTGGTGCTCCTGAGTGTCCGACACTGGAGGTGTTCATTGTTCCTTGGCAAACATTCAGCCCTTCACATTAACCTAAAGAGAAAGATCACGATTCACACCATTTGTGCCCTTCTTATCCCTCCACCCCTACTGATGGGTTTATACTAACCACTTGAGTAACTGCTTTGACATCAGCATGAGGCAGCCACCCTCGAGGTCATAGCAGGAGAGATTAGCATAGTGGCAATTTATGATTGAAGCACAGAAGGCCTACAAGGCTGCAGGTATTGTGAAGAATCGAGAGACGACTCACACCCTCCGCGTCTTTTGAACACCTACGTGTCACAAGGTCTGGTCACTCTTCGGCGTTTGCCATCATAATACAGTCGGTGTATTGAAAACCATCCACTAACTGGGTTCTATTTCAATTTCGTCCCCCTAGAGTTATCCACTGCCTCTAGGGCGAAGCAGAGGTTAACTTCCTATTCACAAGCGACTTCATCGAAAGCGCTCAGTTGACGCATCAGTGCCTAGTGCATCAACTACCATTATGACTTAGAAAAAAAACGCTTCTCTGGAGGCAAGGCTTATATTTTACTGTAGACAGTCAAGTGGGTTATGATGTAGATTGATGTGTCACACTCCATCAACATCCACTATGCATCATCCATCGATGATAGTATCTCACGCATATACTAAAATAAACGCTCCAACAACTGCTCCTACTTGTGGTTATTAAAAATGCTACGCAAATACACACTAAAACCTGTTGCATATGCCATTTCCCAATTAGCTGGGACAACAAACTAAAAACGCAAGGGATAGGCACACACC